CAGCTGCTCCAGCTCATGAGGCCATGGACTGCTCCAGTCCCCAGGAAGAAAACGGTTTTGGGCCCAGGCCCCAGGGGGCCAGTCCATGCCTTGCGGGTGCCCCTGAGGAGATGGAGATAGAAGAAGGCAGGCCAAGAGACTTGGCTCCAATCCCCTTCTCTGTCTCAGGCATAGGCCTGAAAACCCAGGGAGAGCAGGATGTGTGAGGGGAGTTTATCCCCACCTCATCTTGGGGAAGGACCTTCGGCTGAAGCCACAGGGTCCCTTTGGTGCAGTCTTGACTCTTCCCTGGAGCCCACAGAGCAGGTAGGCTCATCCAAGCCAGGCTCAACTTTGGGGCTCCCAGCGCCCAATGGCTGTGTATGAAAGGTGCAGCAGCAGTGAGAGGCCTTTCTGGTTAGGGTCAACAGCTGATACCAAGCCTCTGAAATCCAGCAAGGAACCCTGGCCCCCACCATATCCCTCAGTGCACTTCCCCAGACAGGACCAGAGGACTCCTAGTTCTAGTGTGAGCTGGCAGGCAGCTATTACCCTAGGTTCTTCACCTACCCAAGTCTGTCTCTTGCCCTTTCCTGGGGCGTATAAGCTAATGGTTGGAACCTGGAGCTGACCAGGAGACCATAAAGGCCGTGACTGTTTCTCAGACCTGAAGACTGGGGTGCTTCTTGCCAGAATGTCTAAGACACTTGAATAATTGCTGTTTGCACTTACTGCACGGTCAGACCACATCACTACATTTCTATGCAAGGGGAGGGCAAGGCAGAGTGGTGGTCATGGCTCTCAGCTAACCTATTCAAAGATCTTTTCCAGTTGATTAATCTATTTTCATATTTATGAAGGAGTCTTAATGTTCTGCCCTATAAGACTTTCAACCTTGTGGTTGGGAGTAGGGTTGGTTTTGTAGGCCCTAGGGCCTGCTCTATGTGTTGTCAATATGTGATACACCCAATTGGTTAAATGGTTTATACATGGACTGGTTTCTTCCCTTTCTGCTACTGCCAGAGCGATGGGAACAGTCTGTCCTTATAGAGCCGCAATAAGAAATAACCAAAGATGAAGCTGGTCACATATTTTCATATCTTGTTTCTGTTGATTTTTTTGTAAAACTTTCCCAGGACACTTTGAGATTTAAAAATAAAGTTGGTGTTACAGGTGCTGGTCAGCCGCCTTCTTGATTGTACCCTCGTTCCTCAGCCTCTGGGGTAAAGGCAGAGGTCCAGGAGAGATGCAGCAGGATCTCTGCCAAGACCTCTCCCCAACCCACCACCACTCTAGTAGTTGGGAGTAGGACCCTCACAGGCTAGAGGGATCCAGACCCCTCTGTTCTACCCTTAGCTTCTCTTCCTGGGCCCTGAGTGCTAGTAGAAGTCGAGTCAGCTGCTGCCCCAAGCCAGCTTCATCTTCTGGTTGTGGGCTTTGGAAGAACGGGAGAACTGGCTCTTAGCCACAGTGAGGGGTACAGCTTTGCCACTCAGGTATACCTTGTTGTGGCATTCAGGTAGCCATGGTCCAGAGCTACAGGGCTGTAGTCCTTGGCTCACTCCCACGTAGGCCATCACATAACCTGTCATAAAGGCATCAAAACCAGCCCGATGCAATCCATCCCCAGGCATTGGGGTAGGACTGGCTTGACTCTCTGGTGCTTCTGAGGTGGGCATGTCAGCTGTTTCAGGCTTTGTTTCTTTAGGCTCTGTCTCCAAGTCATTTTTGTGACCTGGCTCAGGGCCAGGCTGGTTCCCAGTCTCATCCTCAGCTACCTCCTGCTCAGTTACCTCAGGTTTGAGGCCATCCCCACAGACCTGCTTGGTGGGAGGACCATCCTCAGCTTCCCCAGAGGTCTGTTTCCCATGCAGGCCCAATGAAGCCCTCCGCCGTTTTTCCCTACGTCGTCGCCGTCGCCTCTTGTCCTCCACCACAGCCTCATCAGTGTCTATGATAAGGTCAATATCATGGGACCGAGGACACTGTGGTCCCAGGGGGCACCAGCCATAGGCCTAGAGGTAGGAAAAAGCTTAGAGACAGGTTCCAGGCATCAAACCTCCCTCCCCTAGGAAATGGCCTGCTGCTCTCACCGAGAAGTTGTCACAGATGCTGGTGGAGTGGGGACGGTAGGTTGCAGGGGGCATGCAGCAGCGGTAGTCAATATGGGTCCTCATGCTGGGAGGATAGCTGCAGAACTCCAGGGTAAGGTGTGGGTTGCCAGCTGCCCGCTGCTTCCCATTTTCCCGCTCACTGCAACAGCACAAGAAAGTATTGATCCACTAGCATATAATTTCTATGAGAGCAGGATAAAAATTTTCTGTTTTGTTTACTGCTGAATCCTCAGCGCCTAAAACTGTGCCTGGCACGTGGCAGGCACTCAATAAGTACCTTAAGTGAATGAGATAGGCTTATAGCAGGTCCCACCCTGTTCCCTCAACCAGTCCCTCACCATTTCCGGAAGGCATATTCTAGGTAGGAGGCCACAAAGCGGGCATGAAACTCAGCAGCATATTTGGTGTCATAAATGCCAGCAGGGAACATTTCACACAGGTCAGCAGTGAAGGTTCCCAAGCTCTCAGGCAGGTGTGCATAGAAGTTCTGGTACAGGAACACCAAGTCTATAAGACCATTGTGCAGTACCAGGGGCCGGCGGGCCCGAATTAGCTCCAGGAACAGCGTCCTCACTGACTGGCTCTGGCTCTCATCACCCTGGGTAGAAAGAAAGGAGTCATGGGGAAGAACAGAATCCTCTAGGGAGCCTCTTTTGCAGAACACTTATCCCAGCTCCCTCACCTGCCACCTCCCTTGCCACCTAATCCAATGCCATTCACCAGTGTATCAATCTTGTTTCCCCAGCTCTGTTATGAGTGATTCCCCATACTCCCTATGAAGCAGATCCTCCCCGTGCACCCAGCCTAGAATAGTAAGAAATGAAGTCACACAAAGGGCAATCTCAAGGCTGGAGGCCTACCTTGTCATTGCCCTTGTGGTAGGGGATACCCTGGGAGTACTGCCGATTGAAGTTGAAGCCATGCTGTACCAGGAACTGCACAGACTTTGGTTCTATGACATACTCTTCCATGCACAGCAGGGTCAGATTGAACACCTGGGCCAGGTATGAGTGGTCACCCTGGGAGAGAAAGAAGTTCTCCTAAATCAAGCTTTGGGAGAAAAAAACCTCACAGCTGATGTTCCCTAGGATTTCAACCCACCTGCCCCAGCCACAGACCTGGGATGGAGGTGATCAGCCCATACCTTGTCTGGCTGCTGCTTGAAGCAAGCGAGGCCCAGGGAGAGGACAGAACGGGTCCTGGCAGCATGACACACGGCCTTGTAACGTTCCTCGATGCACCTTGGGGTTGGGTTTGGGGGTGGCTGTGGCTGGGAGTTAGCCTCATAAAGGACCCAAACCACCCAGGACTGTGACCTCCACTCCAGGGTTGAGGTCTGCCCCTCCTGCCAAGGCTAGTACTAAAGAGAACAAGGCTTATACTTACTGATTCAGCAAACTCTTCCTGTCCCCAAGCCCACTCAGTTCCTATGTGTCAGTAAAGGGAGAGCTGTGTTAGGTCCGTAGCACCCACCAGCCCTTTCACAACCACCTGCTCTCCCCATTCTCCAACTCTCACCGTGTCCACAGCCACAAAGCTAGCCGTCTTTATGGCCAGCAGGAGAGATGGCCACATCTCCTTGAAGTTGTCACTTTGCACATCCACCACGGGAACGTGGACCACTAGCTCCTCCCCAGATTTTGTGCTTTGGCTGACACCACCTGGGGGTAAAGGAGGGTGAAGGTGTTAATGCTCAGGCAAAGGCCCAAAGGAACAGACACCAAGCTAGGCCATGGCTGGGGGCAGGGGCAGTTTCCCTTAAGGCAAGATAAGGCAGTTTTCCCCTCAAGCCTTTGTATGACATATGCTCTATACACAGGCCTTGGAGTAAACAGTGCCCTGAATTTGGGGAGAGAAAGCCTGAGTCTTCCAGTGGCTCATGTGAGACTGGGAAAACTTCCCACCTCAGCATCAAAACCTGTAAAAGAGAACGACTGGACTAGATGATATGTGAGCCTTTTCCCACATCCTGCAGGAAATACTTTGCAAAACTTGAGGACTTCATTTCGTTTAATATCCCACAAGGCTCTATACTACCGATCCCATGGTGCCTCACAGTCACCAACGGCAGTAGTCAGTATGCCCTGGAGCCTGATAAGTAACGTCCCAATCCGTCCCACTTCTGTGGACCACAACTCCCATCCCGCCCCACTTAACAGAGCCATGAGCTCCAGACTACATCTCCCGACACGCCCCCACCTGCCCTGACTATGCTCCCAAACACTCCAGGCTTTTGTAGCCCAAGCCGCGGTGCACACCGGGACTTGTAGTTTCCTCATGGCTGGTTCAGCGGGAAGGAGCTAGTCCTCTGAATCTTGAGGTCGGTTTCTTAGAACGATAAGCCCGAGGCCCTCCCGTCCCCCAGAGCGCGCAGGCTTTTAAAGCGGTCCCGGAGAAGCCACTCACCGTCAGAGACGGCTGGAGCTGAGGCTGCGCCATCGTCACCGTCGGCGGCCATGACACCGCGGGTCCCTCGCCTGTAGATTCAGTGGGTACGCGGGACTTCCGCTTCGTCTCCTGGCTCGGCTCCAGCAGTCGGGATGGGGCGGGGCCTCACCCCCAGAGTCGCCCACGGGTCGGACTTCCGTTCAGTCCTCCCGGTTCTGGCGCGGAGGAGCCAGCCTGTCGCGCGCTGGAAGCCTATTGGGTGGCGCGGCCCAGCTCGCCTCCCGGATTGGCCGGAGCCACGCCTCCTGGAGTGCGTTCGCGAGCAGTGCGCGGGAGACAACGCAGGAGGTAATCCCTTTCCCGTGGACGACTCGGCGGGAACGCGGGCCTTCGCGGCATCCATCTTTATCCACTGGGCTTCGGGGTGGCGGGGTTTCGGAGTGGCGGGGTGGGGGTCCCCAAAGGAGGTGGTGCTGCTTGAGCTAAGCTTAAAGCACGCATAAGAGTTATGCAAAGACGGGGAGTGTTGGGGGAAAAAGGATATTTTGGGAATGGGCAAGTTCCTGGGCAGTGGGAGGAGAGGGCGGGGAGCCGACTGCGTTCCAGGAAGTAAAAGTAATGGGGACCGGGACGAGGCTGCGGAGGGTGAGAACGACCGACTAGCAGGGAAACTTGAAATAATCCATGCACGTAATAATAACGACTTGAATTAAAGCTCTGGCAGTAGGGACGGCGAGGAAGGGAAGGATTGTAAGCAACTAAGATACAGTTGACTTAGAGGTTGATTGGACATGATTCCTACTACCGTGAGAGTTATCCCCACTGGAGCCCAGTCCTTTCCCAAGGACTCCGGTTCCCTATAAAGGATTCTCAACCCTTTCTCTTTGGTTATTCGCAGTTTCTAGTTCATCTTCAACCTTTCTCTCTCTACTGAGTCTTTTCATCATTATTCAGAATTGTTTGGATTTCTCCCGTCTTGGAAAACCTTTTACTATTACTCATCCCAAACAGGTGTTTGTTATATACAGTTTACCGGGCACTGTGCTCGGCTCTGGGGACACAACAGTCAACAAAAAACACCCAGTCTTGCTTTCATGGAGTTTTACAGTTAATTGGGGGAAACACACTGATCAAAGAATCACTAATAAGTGTGAAATTAATAATTGATAGAAGAGCAACAATGGAGAATTCCACAAGAGGGTAAGACTAGGGGTGGAGAAGTCAAGACCTGAAGAATGAGTAGATGTTAGGTAAAGCATAGGAGAAGAGCTGTTCAAGCAGAAAGAATGTACTGGGGGAGGCCTCAAGGTGGACAGACACTTGGGGGATTGAAGCAGCTATTTAAGGCAAACAGGACCATAGTGAGCAAGAGGATGAGGCAGGTGGGGCAGGTTGGAGCCTATGAAACTGTTAAGATGATGAGTTTCTAAGAGCAATGGGTATAATAGTCAAGGTCCTCCAGTGACCTGCAATGTACTTTAATCCTATATCCCCACTTTTTTTTTTAACCTCTCTGACCTCATCTACTACTCACCCCTTCCTTATTCCATTCTAACCACACTGGCTTCTTGTGTTTGTTCTACAAACACAGCAGGCACCCTCCTTAAGGCCTTTGCACTAGGTGCTTCTTAGGATGCCTTTCCCACAGGTATCCATCCACATGGCTAATTCCTTCAACTGCTTTAAGTCATCCGTCAAATATCACTTGAATAAGACTCACCTTGACTTCGTTCTGTAAAATTGCAACATTCTACCACCTCCACCCATCCCTTATCCCCTTCACTGCTCTGTTTCCTCTTTATGCTTGCTAGTATTTATCACCTAACATCCTGTATAATTTACTGATTATGTGCCTTGTTTATTGTCTGCCCCATTAGAATTTATATTCTATGCTAAGTGGGTGGGTACTTTTGATGTTTTACTTATTGAAGTATTCCAGGTACCTAAAACTGCTTGACACATGGTAGGCACTCCATAAATATTTGTTCAATGAGTTAATGGGAAGCTATTGAAGGGTTTTTATTTTTTAATTTTTTGAGGGGGAGATAATTAGGTTTATTTTTTTGGAGGAGGTACTGGGGATTGAACCATGCATTCTACCACTTGAGCTGAACCCTCCCCCTACTATTGAAGGCTTTAAGTAAGAAAGTGACATGATCATGTCTTAGAAGATAGCTTTACTTTTTGGAGAATGAATTGCAGAAGTCGGCATGTTTGGTGAAGGAAGTTTGGCTATGAAGGGGAGGAGGATGGGTCTTGTGGAAGGGATTGGAGGAGCACGACCTGAGGCTTAGGCAACTTAGGAGGCGGGAACTTTCCTCCATGTAATAGGGGAACGGAGAAGGAGAGTGCAGATGAAGGTGAGCTTGTACATTCTTTTTTCTCTCTCTAAAGGAGGAAGCAATTTCTTTTGATGAAAATGAGGTGATGAATTGAACTGTTTGAGGAGAAAATTTGAACCAGAGGCTCTACAGGAACTGTAGTGCAGCCAAGTGCAAGAGTGCAGGCTCTGCAGGTAGACTTTTTGGGTTTGAATTGAAAATTGCTTAATCACAAGCCTCAGTTTCCTCGGAACTAAAATGACGGTAATCTGTTAGGAGATTGAGTGAGAAATCTGGTAAGGCACTTAGTTTAGGGTCTGGCATATAGTAAGCACTCACTAACTGTTAGGTACTTTTAGCTATTAGTTTAAAGGCAGCCAGAACAATAAGGGAGCAGGGAAGATCAACCAGATGTGTTTTCTCATTACTAATGGATAGCCAGCTATGATTTACTAAATCAGGAGAAGATTAGGAATAAACATAGCTCATCTCTCTTCCCCCCCGACTTGCCATCTGCTCTCAGGCAAATCTTTTCCCCTCTCTGATCCTTGGTTTCTCTTTTTTTCTTTGCATTTAATTTTTTTAAATCACCATCACAGAGGTTTCTCCTTTCTATAGAATGAAGGTTTGGACTACATGTTTCGGTGTAAAAGTGCTACAAGTCTAAACAGATAAACCTCCTACCCACACTTCTGTTCCCAGGCACACTCTAAAGGAGCCCTGTCCACACATAGAGTCATAATTAGCACCAGGGATACACAGGTGCTCCCACCCAGGGGTCTTTGGTCCTTGACCCAGCCAAGCCCTGGCCTCTTACATTGTGTATTGTATATGCCTCCAGGATTGTACTAATGCTGGTCCCTCTGAGGCCCCTTGCAGACGCTCAGCCTTGCTGGTCATACCTCAGTGCCACAGCCAGGCAAGAGCAAACCCATGAGCATTTGAAGAGTGCTTGAGAAAAGCTAGACACTATGTATGAATGGTGTGGAGAGGGAGGTGGCTTTACCCCCTGCAGCACCCCAAGTTTCAGCCTCACTGTGACCGACTACTTTGGCTGGGCCTTTGTGTTCTAGCTGATCATGAAGAAGCCACGAGCAGCTGCGGGAAGTCGAAGTCGTCACAGGAAGCAGTCATCCAGCCAGGAGGGAAGGGAGAAACGTGCCCTCAGCAGCAGCCAGGCCAAGCCCTCCGGCCCTGATGGTGAGGAGTTCAGTCCTAGTCAGAGACTCAGGGGCTGGTTTCTTGGCCACGAAAGGGGGCAGTTTCAGGCTGGGAAGGGAGCATGGTGTGTATCAAGTCATTAAAGTCCCAAGCTCAAGCAAGGGGTTGGGGGTCTAGGAAGCTTTAAGTGGAGCAGACTGAAACCAGGCTGCAGTGCCCCAGGTCCCTGGTGCACAGCTTGTGCAGGGATGATCCCTAAGTTTACTGTGGCTCTAGCAGGCCTGGCCAGGCGGCAGGAGGAGGTGGTATTGCAGGCCTCTGTCTCCCCGTACCATCTATTCAGAGACACAGCTGAGGTCACAGTCCTCCGGAAGAACCTGCTGAGCTGGTATGACCTAGAGAAGCGGGATCTACCGTGGAGAAGGCAGGTTGGTGGGCAAGGGACAGGGATGGTGGGGTAAGGGAGGCTGATGCCAAGCTCCTCCACACTAACCGCCCACCTGGGATTGCACTGGCAGGCAGAGGGTGAGATGGACCTGGACAGGCGGGCATACGCTGGTGAGTACATCTCCTGAGAGCAGGGCTGCTTTGCCTGGACACCCTCAGATCTGGGGTCTAGGGGCTGTGTGCTAGGAGCAGGGCAGGTCAGCAGTGTCCTCATGCCAACCCCTCTTCCCCAGTGTGGGTCTCAGAGGTGATGCTGCAGCAGACCCAGGTTGCCACGGTGATCAACTATTATACCCGATGGATGCAGGTGACTTTAGGGAATGAATGGGAGAGTCATGGTCCAGACCCCACATGACTCCTGTGGGGTGGGGATGAAGAAGGCTTCCTCCACCTCCTTCACCTTTGACCTCATTTCTTTTTGCCTACCTTCGGGCTGTAGAAGTGGCCAACACTGCAGGACCTGGCCAGTGCTTCCCTGGAGGTGAGAGCCATCCGAGGGTAGGAGGAATGGGGACTACTGAGGACTGACCTTTGATCCCTCTGACCTCTGACCCCATCCACAGGAGGTAAACCAGCTCTGGGCTGGTCTGGGCTATTACTCTCGAGGCCGGCGGCTACACGAGGGAGCCCGGAAGGTAAGGGGTGTCAAGGTGCATACGGGACCCCTAAGGCCTTGGGTGTCTCATAACCTTGAGCCTTCCCATCTCAATCAGGTGATAGAGGAGCTAGGGGGCCACATGCCACGTACAGCAGAGACCCTGCAGCGGCTCCTGCCTGGTGTGGGGCGGTACACAGCTGGAGCCATTGCTTCCATTGCCTTTGGCCAGGTGAGCCTATAGCCCACCCCACCTCGTGCATGCCCACCTTCCTTCCTCCCACACCAGGCTGACTCCCAGACTCCTCTGTGCCAGGCAGCTGGTGTGGTGGATGGGAATGTAGTACGGGTGTTATGCCGTGTCCGAGCCATTGGTGCTGATCCCAGCAGCACCCTTGTCTCCCAGCACCTCTGGTAAGTTATTGGGCTGATAAGGGAGATTGGGGAGGGTGTCTCCAAAGGGTCTTTGGCTCACAGCAATGTTCCCTTTTTGTAGGAGCCTAGCCCAGCAGCTGGTGGACCCAGCCCGGCCAGGGGATTTTAACCAAGCAGCCATGGAGCTGGGGGCCACAGTGTGCACCCCACAGCGCCCACGGTGCAGCCAGTGCCCCATGCAGAGCCTGTGCCGGGCACACCAGAGGGTGAGCCATCTGAGGAAGGGGCAGTCAGGGGACCTAGGGAGTAACTCCTTCCCCATGACATCTTGCCCTGTCTATGCTGCTCAGGTGGAGCGGGAGCAGCTCTCAGCCTCACAAAGCCTGCCAAGCAGTGGAGATGTGGAGGAGTGTGGTGAGTGCCAGCTCCAGCCCTTCCCTACACTGTTGAGGAGCTGCCTGTGGCAGCCTCATTCCATGTCATCTTACAACCTGAGTAAGATTCTGCAGAGCTGGGCCAAGGCCTGCTCCCTGGGCTTGGCACCTAAGCCCACCTGGCCTGAGTGGGGCTCCTGGATCTCTGTTCCCAGCTCCCAACACTGGACAGTGCCAGCTGTGCGCACCTCCCACAGAGCCCTGGGACCAGACCCTGGGAGTGGCCAACTTTCCCAGAAAGGCCAGTCGCAGGCCCCCCAGGGAGGAGTGCTCTGCTACCTGTGTTCTGGAGCAGCCCAGGGCTGTTGGCGGTGCCCGAATTCTGCTGGTGCAGAGGCCCAACTCAGGTACCTGGATCCTGGGAGTACAGGAAGGTGGCCTGAGCAACATGGAAGAAATGAAGGAGTCAGCAGCTAAGGCCTAACCCACACCTGGCTGCCCTCCCTCTCAGGTCTGCTGGCAGGACTGTGGGAGTTCCCATCTGTGACAGTAGAGCCCTCGCAGCAGCACCAGCCCAAGGCCCTGCTACAGGAACTGCAGAGTTGGGTCGGGCCCCTCCCAGCCACCCGCCTCCAGCACCTGGGGCAGGTGAGTGAGCATTGGAAGGGCCAGGAATGGTGGCTTCGGTGGCCACATCCACAGGTCTGTTTCAGCCCCTTGATGCTCCCCTCCAGGTGGTCCACACCTTCTCTCACATCAAGCTGACGTATCAGGTATACAGTCTGACCCTGGAAGAACAGACCCTGGTGACCACCTCACTGCCTGGCGTGCGCTGGCTGACCCGTGAGGAGTTTCACACTGCAGCTGTCTCCACCGCCATGAAAAAGGCACTAACTTTTTGTCTTCGTTGTTCTTTTCTGTGTTTCCTACACGTTCTTAGTGAATCTATTACTATGCAAACAAACAAACAAACAAAAAAGCATGTTTTAAACAAAAGTGCCAGGGCATGAACTTGAGGGCAGAACACAGGGGTCTGGCTCCTTGGAGGAAGATGCCATGCCTGCACTTTCTCCTCCCTTTTTGTCTAGGTGTTCCGAGTGTACGAGGGCCAACAGCCAGGGACCTGCAAGGTGAGTCTCTTGGCCCTCACCCATCCATCTCTCTCCAGGCCCAAATCCCACTCACGTGTTGTCACTGAGTTAAAGGACACACGTTTGGGTGAACAGTCTCCATGACAGGCTTCAATGGGGCGAGATGAATGGTTCTTGACCTGGAGACCTTACAGTCTGGGTCCATGGTGGGGAGGGGACAAGAGCAAATGATGGAGACAGTAGTGTCACAGTGTGTGAAATGTCTGAACTAGATTTTGTGGGATATGAGGTAGGGAGCTGTCAGTTCTATCTGGGAGGCAAGAATCAGTAACAGCTGCTTGTAAGAAGCAGCTGGTAATCTGGGTCCTAGAAATGAATCATTTTTTTCCATTTGGAAAAGGAATCTGCAGAAAGGATGTTCTTTCCAGGCCCAAGAGCAGTGTGAGCCAAGGTGGGGTCCAATACAGTCAGCAGCACTCAAGGAGCTGGAGTGGTCAGCAGGGCATGTGCAGGCCAGTCAGGGCCGTGAAAATCAGGCCACTGATGCATTTTAGGTGGAGAGAGGAGTCAGATTTGCATCTTAGGAAGACTACCTCAGGCTGCCTTTTAGAGAGTTGATCAAAGAGTTAGGTACTGTAAACAGGGTGGAAGCTTTATAATATTCAGGCTAGAATCTGAGCTAGATCAGTGTTGTAGTGGGGGAATGGTGGAAGAAGATTCTCTGCTGCCCCCTCAGTATCTCCGTCCTTCGGCTTCTGCACAGGGTTCCAAAAGATCCCAGGTGTCTACCCTGTCCAGACAGAAAAAGCTCAGCCCAGGCCAGAAAGTCCTGGATAGTTTCTTTCAGCCCTACACCTCAGCTGGTGCACCCTAGCCTCAGCAGTACAGCTCAGTGATGCTTCTGGAAGCCCCCGCCCCTGAGAAGCCTGTTTAATAAAGTGCTTATTTTTGTAGTCACTTTGGAGACTTTCTACCCTCTGCCCCCTCACCAAAGTCTTGCTTGGTCCTGACTTCCACTGCTGAGCTCCCATCCTGGGCAGATGGAGGAGGGAGTGATCTGTCCTTCCCTGACCCCAGGAGAGGGAGAAGGCAGCTGCAGGGAACCCCTGCCAGTGGCTGACATCTGACAGCCTTCCTCTAGGCCTCTGGTCAGCTCTGATTGGAGCTGTGCCATTGCCCTAGAGCAGGTGGTTGGGCTCAGCCCCTCCCACTGCAGTGGCTGCTCCCTAGGGGGAGAGGAAGCACAAGGGAGGATTTGTCTTAGACTCCTACTTCAAATACTAAATCATTTATTTAGGGATACATTACATATGCAGTGAAACAAAATAGAAAAGTTATTAATCATAATATTGGGCGTATGGAGGAGGGAAATGGGGATCAGAGGACATAAGAAGGCTTCAAAGTATTGCTTATGTTCTATTTCCTAGTTGTGTAATTCCTTTATTTACATCTTGCTTATATATTATGTGAGAAATGTTTCACAGTTTAAAAAGAAAACCCCACCTCTTTGAACTGCAGTGAGATATTCAACTTTTGGCAGATACTGATAAGATGGAGGCCACACCTGGCCCCTAGGGACAAAACCTTTCATTCCAGGCCTCAGTGGGTGTTTCTCAGTTCCAGCAGGCCTTGTGCTGGACTCCCACAGCTCCAGGACAGGTGGCTTTGCCCAGCTTCGGCCCTTCTCAGGCTTCCTGGCCCCTGGCAGCTTGCTCTTGCACGGACTGCCACAGGGCTCGGATGTTGCCCTGGCCAAAACCTGTGGCCCCTTGCCTCTGAATCAGCTCCAGGAAGAAAGTGTCCTCTGCAAAAAGGGACTTGGTGAAGACCTGAAGCAGAAACTTGCCTCTGTCTCCATCTAGCAGGACCCCGTGTCGGGCCAGCAGGCTAGGCTTATGCCCTGCAGCCAGGATCTGCTTCTCCTTGCCTGGTTGCTGGTAGTAGGCCTCCGGAGGAGTCAGGAGCTGACCTCCGGCCCCTGCCACCCCCTCAGTAGCTTCCATGATGTTGGGTGTGTACAGCCCCACGTGCTGTAGTCCAGGTCCGCCGTTCCGGGCCAGGAACTGCTCCACCTGGTCTTGTCCTTCGGTGACGCCCAGCAGGGACTCAGCCAGGACAAGGGTGGGGACAAGGTTATTGGTAGGGGCCTGCAGAGCAGTGAGCCTCAGCCCCCCGCGCCCGGACCCTGCTGCCACCTCAAGACCCAGCTCCGGATCCTCACCTGGGCTTAGTGGCAGGTGGTGAAAGCCTAGACAGTCGTGGAACCAGCGCATCAGTTTTGGGGAGCTGCTGGGGGTGCAGGCCAGGGTCAGGTGGTCCACGTGGCTGACCCAACCTGGGCCAGGTGCCGAGCTTACAGGCCTAAAGCCAGGCAGGAAGGGCCCGCAGAAGCCGGTGCGCTCCAGTAGCGTCAGGCTAAGGTTGCCAGCGGGCGAGCTGACCACGGCATAGGTGGCGGTGCCCTGTGCATCCCGCACGTTGATGGGGGGCACGGGCACGCTGCAGCCTAGGGCAGCCAGCTCCCGGGCGGCGGCTCCCGCGTCGGCCACATCAAAGCACAAGTTCGTGGCGCCGGGCACCGGATGATGTGGGTCCAGGCCGTACAGCGGCTCCCCTGGACCCCCGCCTTCATTCACCAAAAAGACAGCGTTTCTGCTGCGCAGGGCCAGCTGCCGCCAGCCGTCCGCTTCCCGCACCGCCAGGGGCTGAAAGCCGAAAAGGTGCTGCAGATCTCGGGCGAGAGGCAGACCCGGGGGCACGTGGAAGGCGATGTGGCACAGACGACGGGCGGGCGCGGCCATGGCGGTCCGGGTGGCGACCCCGGACTGTCCTTCCTCTAGGGTCGCTCATTTATCGTTCGGGACTCCGAGACTCTCTGTGCCTGGGTTGTCGTCAGAAGCCGGTAGTCCATTTTTACCAGGAGAGAGGATTCCTTGATCTTTTTCGGGGAGGAGCCACAGACCGACCCCTTGGGCCTTGCAGTTACCCCTGCCGCGCCACCCCAAACTCGTGCTGCTTGGGGACCACCGGGTATGAGCTGACGGTGGTGAGAACCACGCGGAGCCAGTGCTGGGGCGGAGCGGGAGAGAGGGGGCGGGGCCGCGGCTGCCACTCTCCACCCTCCCACCCAATCTGTGTCGCCGGGGACACACGACTGCTCCTTTGGCGTCTGGCTGGGCCGCACCCTTGGGTGCTGACCTTCCCGTGGCCTCTGGGTGAGCCCCACCCTTGGGCATCGACCTTCTCATGGCCTTTTGCTGGGCCACACTCTTGGGCACTAAGCCTCCCTTTCCCAGACCCCGGAGATTACAATAGCTCCTTTTACTAGGTTCCAGACACTGAGCTCCCATTTTTGCTCCAACCTCAGAGCAGAGGGAATCAGCCCTAGCTGGGGGAAGAGCTAGAATTCTCCGCCTACAAGCATGAAATTTCTTAGCAATTTCATTTTTTCAGCTTAAAAATTTTGAAGAATTTTGCTTTTAAGTATTAATGTTCCTTTAAAACTTAAAAAAATTTTTTTAATGTTCTAAGTTACAGATTTTCACTCTTTCCACCAGATGGTCCAGATAAACTGATGTTATAGGAAGACAGGCTGTTTATATAGCTCCTACACTGGTCTCTTCTTCCTCTTGGGAAATCTCAGCTGAACCTGTCTCTTCAACCCCACTTTTCCCTTAACATCTATTACCCCCTTGTCCCAAACAAGATTTGGAGTAAAAAACGGTGGCTCAGGATCTGCACGGGTATCCTTTTTCACCCTCCCTAGCCTGGCATTAAAACAAGCCCTCCTTGCTCTTTGCAGCTTCCTGACTGGGTATTGGGCCAGAGGAGCGTTCTTGGGGCATTTCTGCCTTTGCCACCCAGAACTGTGAGATCACTGGATTGAGAAAATTAGGAGTCTTCTGTAACTTCAACTGGTAACTCTTGAAGGGTTTGGAAGGGCATTCCAAGAAGGGGAAATGGCATAAACTAAAGCTCAGGGAGAAATGTGAGCGAAACCCTCAGAGTAGCAATGGAGCATAAGGTTGGGGAGGCAGTTGGGACAGATGCCACGGTCCTAGGCATTGCAAAAGAGATTCCTTTGTTAGGCAGCCTGATGTGATGACTTACTGTTGAGTTTCACTGGCAAGAGGGAGGATGTGATGAGGGGACAGGACCAACAAAAGGAGGTCTGGCTGTATGTTCAGGCCTACAGCCAGGAAGGCAGTACCCAGAAGCTGGTCAGCAGTGGTGAAAGGCAGTTGGTGCTATTTTGCAGAACAGTGAATTTGAGAACATGGGCTCCAAAAGCCAGATGGACCGGGGTTTAAAATCCACCTTCAACACTTAACTACCTGTATGACTTTCGGCAAGATGCTTAACTTCTCTTAAGCCTTAGTTTCTTCATCTGTAAAAATGAGAATAATAATAGTACCTACTTCGTGGGCTTGTTGTGATTAAATGTAGTCTATGGAGCAACCCGGCAAAAGATCCAGGTTTTGGCCTGTGAACCTGGGCCTGACTGCGGGTTCAGGGCATACAAAGGGCTATTCCTCCCTAGGCCTGAGCAATGGGAGGGCTCTGCTTTGGTGATAGATTCTGGGGGCAGCTGTTCTGGGAATAGGGCTCTGAGAGGGTTGACAAAGAAAGGGCTATGTTCTGCCCCAGATATCATGATTAGGGCCCCATGAGAGCAGCTCTAGTGCTTCCAGGCCTTTGGTTTAGAGGGAATTTCCACTCAAGGGCCCAGGTATGGACAGAGAGACCAGAAACAGGACCACTGGCTCATGACTTCCCACCTGCTCCTGAGGGAGCAGGGTATATTTCTGTAGGCTAAGTGGGGGCTGTCTGAAAGAAAGGGTGATCTTGGCTGGGGCACGTTGCCCTGCAAGGTCACTGTGCTTGACTTTGACCCAGGGCACATACTGGGCTCTGAAGAAACTAGCTGGGGGTAGAGAATTAGACTCCATTTCCTGCAGTCCTGCTGGCGTCTGGGCCCTGACCAACGTAGGACTCCCGTCCTCTTGGGTTCAGGACCCTCCGGAACTTTCCCTAGATGTATCCTAGGTGCCTGTCTGCGGTTCCCTTCCTGCTGGGGCAACTGATGCTGAGAGTGGGCGCGCAGGTCAAAACCGGAGAGAACCAGACTATACCACTCACTGGAGAGCTCACGCGTCCGAGAGGCGAGGCGGTGACGCCTCTCCCAACACGTCTGCCTTCTGTAATAACAAGGTCAGCAAAGGTGGAGGCAGGGGCTCTGGAGGGCCGAAGAGTCGAACTCTCGGAGACACGCAACTTTGTTAGTTCTGAGCCTAGGCTGACGGCTACCTGAGGAGCACTCAGCCTTTCCCGAAATCCTGACCCTGGTCCCGTCCCCTCCTGCTCCCCTCTCCCTCCACCTCCCCGCCTCCAGTTCCTCGGACCCCTTCCCCTCTTCACCTGCTCTGGACGCCCCGCAACTCACATCTCTCAGGCCCCACCCCCTCGGACCCGCCCTCCATAGGCTCCCTCCTGTTCCGTTCCTCAGAAAGCGGCTCCCGGAACTCCCGCCTTTCTGGCCCCGCCCCTCCCGAGCTCCCTCGGCGTTTACCTCTCCCGGAGGCGCCACCGGAAGTACGCTCCTTTCTAGCCTTGGCTCTGCCCCGCCCCCGCGTGACTCCGTTCCTCTCCTTCAGCCCTTGAAGTTTTATAAGGGTGGCCGGAAGACCTCAGAGAAGGTGACTTTAAAAAAAAATTGTGGTAAAATACACATAATACAGTATTTATGTTACATTTTTAAGTATACAGAGGTATTAAGTATGTCCATGTTGTGCAACCATCACCTTATCCGTCTGTAGAACTCTTCTGCAGCTGAAACTCAGTACCCAATAGATAAACCCCCACTCTCCTGCACCCCGCCCCAGCCCCTGGCAACCACTATTCTATTTTCTGTCTCTTATGATTATAACTACTCTAGATACCTCATGAAAGTGAAATTATGCGGTCTGTGTGTGCTTGTGTGTGTTACTGGCGTATTCCATTTAGCATAATGCCTTAAAGTGTCATCCATGTTGTAACATGTCAGAATTTCGAGGTGACATTTGAGTTAATTCCTGAAGGAAGTGATAGTGCAAGAGAGAAAATTGTAAAGGCTCTGAGGCAGGAATGGGACTGGTGTTGGATCAGAAGGCCAGTGCAGCTGGAAGAAGATACGGAGAGGGGGAAGTAGCAGCCAGAAGACAAATTTTGTAGCGTGTTAGGACTTTGGCTTTTACTCTGAGCAGGATAGGAAGCCATTGGAGGGTTTAAGCTGAGGGGTGATGTGATCAGATTCCACATTTCTATTGAACCTCTGCCTGCTGAGTGATAACAGGTTGGAGGGGAGCAACGGCAAAACAGGGAGGCAAATGAAGGGGCTGTTGCTTCTAACATTGTCTGGAGACTTCGGAAGGCTTCTCAGGGGAAGTTGAGACCAGAAGTTTGTGTAGGAATTGACAAAGTAAGGGGCACCTTTATGTATTGGAGGATGGAAGTCAAGTGTTCCAGGCGGAGGACGCTACTTATACAAAGGCCTTGATGTGAGAGCAAGTGTATTTGATTGGCAGTTGTTAGTACAATTGACTCTTGAACAATACGGGTTTAAACATATATGCAGGTCCATTTATTTCTTCAGTAAATATATACTACATATACAAATAATATTTTCTTCAGGAAACATATACTACAGTATTACACCATCCACGGTGTGTTGAATCCGGGGTTGCAGAACCACAGATAAGGAGGGCCTGCTGTAAAATTATACGCAGATTTTACACGGATTTTCCACTACTGATTTTTCTCTCTTATATATCTTCACTCTCTCCCTTTTGAGAGAGTTCCTCAGTCTCTCTCAAATTAAAAAAAGGAAAAAAATTAAAAAACTCCCTTTCCCTCTATCCTGCTTATTTCTACAACTGTTTTTGTATAATTCAGCCAAACTTCTAAAAGTTAGTTTTAAATTGGATTATAGCTGATTTACAATATTGTGCTAGTTTCAGGTGTATATCAAAATGGTTCAGTTATACATATATATTTCAGATTACATTATAGGTTATTATAAGATAGTGAATATGATTATATCCAATATAACCATATTCATATATGGTTCCCTGGTGCTATACAGTAAATCCTTGTTTCTTATTAATGTTATGTATAGCAGTTTGTATCAGTTAATCCCACACTCCTAATTTATCCCTTCCTGTATCCCTTTCCTTTTTGGTAACCATACATTTGTTTTCTATGTCTGTGAGTCTGTTTCTATTTTGTATATAGATTCATTTGTATTAATTCTTAGATTCCACATATAAGTGATACATAATATAATATTTGTCTTCCTCTAACTTACTTGACTTAGTGTGATATTTTCTAGGTCCATCCATCTTGCTGCAAATGTCAATATTTCATTCCTTTTTTGTCATATCTGTATCTATATCTATATATATATATCACATCTTAAACCAGTTGTCTGTTGATGGGCCTTTGGGTTGTTTCCATGTCTTGGCTATTGTAAACAGTGCTGCTATGAACATTTGGGTGCATGTATCTTTTTGAATTAGAGTTTTCATCTGGATAGATGCCTGGATTGCTGCATCATATGGTAGCTCTATTTTTAGTTTTTAAAGGAACCTCCATACTATTCTCCATAGTGGCTGAATCAATTTACATTCCCACTAACAGTGAAAGAGTGTTCCCTTTTCTCCACACCCTCTCCAGCATTTGTTATTTGTAGACTTTTTGGGAGGCAGGAGGAGGTAAATTAGGTATGTATGTATGTATGTATTTATGGAGGTACTGGGGATTGAATGTGAATGCTAAGCACACACTCTTCCACTGAGTTACATTCCCCCCACTAGACTTTTTGATGATAGCCATTCTGACCTGTGTGAGGTGATACCTCATTGTAGTTTTGATTTTGCATTTCTCTAATAATTAGCGATGTTGAGCATTTTTTCATGTGCCTATTGGCCATCTGTTGGTCTTTAGAGAAATATCTATTTAGGTCTTCTGCCCATTAAAAATTAGTGTTTAAAGATATATAAATTATGTAAAATTTCAGTGTACATGCTTGCAATAAAAATCCAACCATATGAAAGAACATAAAATGAAAAGTAAAATTCTCCTTACCCTGACCATTCTGCAGAAATAACCACTATGTAGAGTTTCTTGTGTACCCTTTTTAAAGCTTTTTCTATACATTTATACAAACATATATATATATATCCTTTTTTCTTGAGCATCCAGTCTTAGATATATATCTATTTCAATACATATGAACCTAGCATGTTCTTGTTAATGGATACGTAATACCCTGTTGTGTGGACGTGTTATAGCTAATTTAACCAGCCCGCTGTTGGTGAGTATACAAGTTGTATTCCACTTTAGCTATTTATAAAATGTCATAGCACACATCCTTTCTTTGTGCAGACATGAAGTACATTTGTAAGCTAACTTCTTAGAAGTAGAATTGTTGGCTATGTGTATTTTTAATTTTCATGAATTCTAATTGCCATTCAAAAGAGTTGTACCTAATTACACTGTCACTGGTAACTTGTGATAGTTTAGCCTAATTCATTCAAAGAATTTTCTACACTCTCTTTCTCCACTGCTTCACCTCCTCCTTGCAGCACAACTCACTCTAACTTGGTTTCTCTCCATCATTCTTCCTTAAAAGGATCTAAGGTCACTAATGATCTTCACGTCATCCAATGGACACTTTTCAGATCTCATCTCACTGCCCCTCAGAAATGTTCTATACGGTTGACCACTTTCTTCTTTCTGAAGCACTCTTGCCCTGGCTTTCATAACACCACACTTACCTCATCATCCTCTGGCCACATTATTTTTCCTCCGTGCACTTGGAAATGTTGGTATTGCTCCAGGATTCGGTTACCATCTGCATGCACATGACCCTGCATTTGTGTCCCCCTTCCTAACCTTTATTCAACTGCTTATTTGCTATCTTGACATGGATGCCCCACTGGCACCTCAGATTCAACATACCCAACATTGTCCTCGTGCTCCCATCTCAGCAGCTGCCCACTGCTCTCCGGTTGTCCTAGCCAGAAACCTGCAACTCATGTTTGAACTTCACTGTCACTCAATTCTCACCTTCAATCACCGTGTCTATCTTCATAATGTCTTTCAAACCATCACATCTCTTGTCATCCCCCTGCACCAACCAAGTCCAGGTCCTCACTGTCTCTGTACCACCTGGACACTGCATTGACCTTCTAATTGCCTCCCTGGCTTTAGACTTACTGGTTTCCAAAAAGTCTCCACTCTGTAGTGAAAGTTAGCTTTGAAAAATGCAGATCTGATTATATTATAGTCCAACTTAAAGCCCTTCACTAAGTACTGACTGCACTTAGGATAAAGACAAAAAAATCTCCCCTGGCTGATTAGGCCCTGAAGACCTGTCCAACTGTTGTCACCACTACCCCACTTCTTCATACTATAAGTAGTTTTGAATGTTTTATGCTCCTTCACACCCAAGAGTTTTGTCTGCTGCTTCTTCCTGCTTGAAGTACTCCCCTTCCTTCTTGCCTTGACCTGGCAAACACCTTCTCAATCAGTAGGTCTCAGCATAAATTGTTTGAGAATGCCTTCCAAGACCCCCAAGACTTATGTGCTGTGCCTAACACAAGGGTTGGCACATGTGGAGAGCTCAATGAATACTTATTAATGAACCAATTGAGGCCTCAAGGGCCAGGTGGATGCTTACCATCCTGCAGTTTTTCACACAACCTGAAGGTGTCACCCTTGGCCTCAGTTTAACCAGGCTTTGGCAGGGAAACTAGGAGGACCAGCGAGGTTGAATCCCTGCCTTGCCCATCTATCCAGCAAGCTGGGAAGGGTTATGGGAAGCTTAGCGGCTTCTCCCAGGTTTGACACCTCCATCTGCTCTGGGTCAGCTATCTTGATAGGGTAACCAACCATCCCAGTTTTCCCAAGACTGGACTTGTAGTGCTCTCAGGATGTGGAACTTTCAGTTGTAAAACTGGGACAATTCCAGGCAAATCGGAAAGGTTGTCACCCAACCATGGGCAGAGGGGTTGAAACACCTACATCTTCACTGGACTAAGGTCTAGACCCGGCGGGAGAGCTAGCTCCAACCTAGTCAGGGCCCTCACAGCAACACCACTGGTGGGCTGACCCTGTAGCCTGGTGGTTCTAAGAATTTAGGGAGAGGAAGTATATATGCTTTAAATGAACATAAGGAAACCAACCGATGTCTGACAATAGCTACCATTTATTGAGTGCTACTGGGCATAACACACTTACACATATCTTTTTTTAAAACTTTTTTATTGAGTTATAGTCATTTTACAATGTTGTGTCAAATTTCCAGTGTACAGCACAATTTTTCAGTTATACATGAACATACATATATTCATCATCACATTTTTTTTGCTGTGAGCTACCACAAGATCTTGTATATATTTCCCTGGGCTATACAGTATAATCTCATTTATCTATTCTGCATATACCTGTTACATATCTTTTCTAATCCTCGCAGAAACCCTGAATACAGAAGATTATTTTTCTTTCAGAGATTAGAAAACTGAGACTCAGAGAGGTCAAGTGACCAGCCCAAGTCACACAGCTGTTAGGTAACATGGTGAAATTCAAATGCATGTCTGTCCAACTACAGAGCTCCTGCTGTTTTCACTGAGTCTATAGCCTGGCCATTTCCTTCCTTCTCTGGTCATCACAGCCCCAGGGATTTGAGTAGGAGGCAAGAAGCAGGTATAGGTGGAAAGGGTTGAGGAAAATGGTCTGTGCTCAGGGCCTGGTGGGGAGTGGGGGACCCACATAGCATTGACAACTTGCCTGTCCACACAAGAGAAGGCTCTGTCATCTTGAACTAGGTGTGGACATAGTCTGGGGACTTCCAGGGAGGCCCTTTCACAGGCTGTCATCCTGACACCAGGCCATGTATTCACGGAGGAGCCAGGGCTATGTTTCCAAGTCCAGGATAAACCTAGCCAGGTCTTATCTGTTGCAAATGGACGTCTGGACACGGGAGAGGCACAGGGGAGGGGTCATCAGGAGCTGGCCATAAACTCAAGAAGCGAGAGGTGGGGATGGGTGGGGGCTGTGACAAGGGTCATGCTAAGCACAGTGCCTTGCCCAAAGATTGGGCTTAGTGAATGGTTGCAATTTATGATACAGCCAACTGCCTCTCTTTTCCAGAGATATTTGTAAGTTTTATTTTTGCCCAGATGGTTGTTTGGGAATTGAGCTGCTTTTGAATATTAAACAAGAGTTGGTTATGTAGAAGTATGAGCAGAAGACTGACTAGTTGTGTAAACGTATGGGCAGAGACCTGACTAGGCTGAGCAGTGGTCAGAGCCCTGATGGCACTTATTGGTCTGGCAGCCAGATGTCTGCTCCACAGGAGGTGTAATAAGCCAGACTCTGGGATTCCTTTAAAAAAACAAAATGTAGACATCCCTTAAGAATATTAAGTTCTCTGGCAGGGAGGTGCTTTGGGCTGTACAGTTTCACTTTATTTTCTTGGTATGTCCAAAGACTTTTGCGGTGCAAGATCTGTCCTGGACCATCTTGGCCCCAGACCAGGCTAGCCCCTGGCACTGGTGTGACCTGGTGCCCTGTGGCAAGGTTCTGCCCTGTGGCTCCACTCTGCCAGCTAAGCCATCAGACATGTGTTGCTGGAGCAAGTCTTCCCGAGAGCTGGGTCACGTCTCGCTCTTCCCTAGCTGGCCTTCCTGCTTCCACCAGAGAACTGAGCCTTGTACATTCCAGGGAAGGCTGGGGGTCTGAGCATAAAGCAGGGCCACAGAGGAGAGAAACCACTAATTAAGCTTTCATGTCCATGGGACTCCTCTGCCCTTCGTTCTGAAAGTACCTAGTATGTTCCAACTGTGACGAGAGGGAGGAGGAATTTGTGAATGGCACAAACACTGTACCATCACATTTATATGTGACTTCTTGTCAGGAGCTCACGGAAGACGGTGACCTGGTGCAGTGGAAAGCATGTGACTTTAGGGTCAGTCAGCATTGGATTCTGCTGCTTTCTTGCTGAATAACCTTGGGAAAGTTACTCAACCTCTCTGAGTCTTGATTTCCTCAATTGATAAATGGGGATAATAATAATAATGTCTATGTGATAAGTTTGTTTTGAGGTCTAAATTTGCTGACCAATGTATATAAAGCCCTAAATCTGGTGTATAAAAATATGATATTTATTGAGTGCTTGTTTTGTGGCAGTTCATGTTTAAGTGCTTTATAAGCATAGTACGAACTCATACCTCTGTGAGTCGTGTAGTTTCATTGTCTGTGCTGTATAGGTGCAAAACTGAGACTCAAGAAGCTTGAGTAACTTGCCCAAAGTTACAAAGCTGGTAAATAGCAGAGCCAGGATTTGGACCTAGGCAGTCAGGCTCCAGTTCACAGATACTTAACTACCAAGCCATGATGCCATATGGAGTAGGGCTGAATACAGAGTAGCTATTATGATCATAGTAATTTAGTATTAAGTGCTTTTTATATCCATGATGCTAAGTGTTAATTATTAGCGTATTTGGATGCAACATTTATCCTTTTTGTTCCTGTTTCTTCCACAGCCATGGCAACAAAGGGCCTTGTGCTCCGTATAGCAGAGCATCCTGCTTTTGTCCGATCCAGCCCAATGTGTCAGTCTCTGCAAACAACAAAAGATGTGGCACCCAGCTGCCTGTCCCTGCCCCCACCAGAGCATCAAGAAAGGCTGAGGACTCTCCGACTGGAACCAAGCTAGGAGAGCAGCAGACAGGTACAGATCAGCAGACCCGGAGCAGGGCTCACAAAAGAGAGGTCATGCTTAATAAACCTGATTAATTTCATTGAGTGGCAACAGTGCAAGCAGACAGGGGTGAAAGGAGGGACAGTAATTCATCCTGATTCCAAGGCACAGGAGCGCAGCTAAAACCAACACAGAGATCTTGTGGACATGCTGCTGGGGTTCTGCAGGAGTCTGGTGGGGCTTAGCTCCTGGGGGAAGCCAGAAGGAAACTGAGTAAGTTACTCATAGTGACCTAGTGAAGAGGACACCCAGAGCAGGGACAGAGCACAGCCTGTCCAAGCCATGTTAGCAAGACACAAATCTGACCAGGACACTTGCCTATTAATTCCCTTCCAATGGCTTCCCACCACCTAAAGATGATAATGATGTGGATAATAAAAAAACAATGATAGCTGCATTTATTCGGTATTTACTACATATTGGGTACTATATACAGGGAGGAAGCTGAGGCAAGAAAGGTTAAGAAACCTACGCAGTCACCCAGGTATTAACACACAGCTGGGACTTCAACACAGCTCGCTCGCACATTCTAGTTCATTTGCAGCTGTGTTTAATGGTGCATCTCTTCCATCAGACAGGAAGCCTCTCTGTAGCAGGAACCATAACTGATACAACTTTTGCCGTTTTAGTCCTCAGTAGATAGGGATGTTGAAGCTTCTGTGTCTGTTGTGCTTCTCTTTCTGAACATTCTTCCCTGAGTGAGCTCATCCATGCTTTTGGCTTCAAGTCCCACGTTCTACAGGAAGACTTCTAGAGAAGGCGTTATGATTGACTCCCTAACCTCCATTCCACCCCAGATGATTAGTCTGAGCTGATTGTATAAATTCCATCCTTCTTCCAGTAACTGGTTTAGGGATGGGGATATCCCCAATGAGACTAAGAGGACATTTGCTGAGGGGTGTCTGGGAAAGGTTTTCTCACTCCTAGGAGAGAACCACTGGAGGTGACAGTGGCTCTTCTTCCTGGGAACGTTGTCTGGATGTGTCCTGGAATTACTGCAGCTGTTGTGCTAACAGCTGGGGATGGAGCCAACAGCAAGGTTGGCAGAGTGGAGAGCTGGAAGGAGTCTTTGTCCTTGAGGGCACTCAGTCTGCCATCCCTGGAGGCCACCCTAATGCTGAACAAGGGAAATTAAATAGTGTTGCTGCTGAAGCCACTGAGAGTGGGCTTTCTGATGTTTCTGGTAGAAAGCAACCTTACTGATATAACTGGGGCAGCATTATGACTTTTGTGGGCCCCTTCCTACAGAACAATTTTTTAAAATTATATTTTACGACTACACCAGTATAAAGAGGAATGTCTTAATTTTATATATTAAAACATCTTTAACTTAAAAGGTGTTTTTCTTCTGACTTAAAGGAGATTAAAGCATTTTTTGTGGAACTCTAACGCACCTCCCCGTGCCTAGTAGATAGACTGGCCCTGGATACAGCTTCCAAATATCTATCTCCAGGCCATATCTCCCTTTGCCTTCAAACCCACATACCCCACTGCTTATTGGATAGTTCCACTTGAGTGTCTTACCTGAAATTCAGCATACCCAGGGCTGAACACAGTTTCTCCCACACCTTTTCTTTGTCCAGTATCTCCTGTGTGAATGAACTGCGTATTGCCCAGCTAGTTGTATCAGCCAGAAACCTGGGACCTCAGCCTCTCCCTCACCATGTGCCCAATCCATCACCAAATGCCATCATTTCCCCTCTTAAATGGCTTTTTTCCCCTCTGACTGACAGATCCTGCCTCACATATAGCACAGGAGGACAGGAACCCCGTACCGACAGCAGCCCAGGGATCACACCAGCCCTTCTGTCCTCACATTGTCAGATGAGGGCCACTTCTCTGGAGCCTTTGTGGGGGCTTGGGCATCTAACCCCCTTGAATAAGGGGTGGCCAATGAGATACAAGCATACGGCTTCCAAGGAAGCCCTTTAACTTCAGTTCCCTTACTTTCCTCTTCTCCCTGACCAGAGCTCTGACATGGAGTGCCAGCAGTAATCTTTTATCTTTGAAGATAGTAGCTGCATAAAGAACGATGAAGCAGAAAAATATTAGAAGCCTAGTTCAAGATGACTTTCTGTGGCATACCAGTCTTGGACTGCCTGTCTCTGGAATTCTCTTATGTGGAAGAATAAATTTGTGCAAGCCACCTTAGTTAGATCTCTGTTACTAGTTATCAGCCATAATTTCTAATAAATAAGACATGATTCCACCCTTCCGCTGACTCAGCCTAGAAGACCAGGAATTTAGTGGGCATTCTCATGAGCATCCAGTCATTCCTGAAGAAACAGCTACTTGTTCAGCCATATGCTGTAAGAGTAGGGACCAATTTTTATTCCATTTTATATCCTCAGTCCCTAGCATAGTTCTTGACTCATTATTCAATAAGTATTGGATGAAAAAAATGAAACAGATGGATGGATGGATAGATGGATGCTTACTCAAAATGTTGAAAAAGAAGGTGCCAAATATTAATTTATTGCCTCCCACTCCAAATTCACCCTTCTTTGCCCTGCTTTTTGATAATGGACTCTAGGCCTGGAGGGAAAGATCCTGTCTTGAGTCACCATAGTGGCCTCTTATCCAACTTCCAGAATTAATCTAGTTCTCAAACCCAGAGCCCCTTGAATGAAGGGGAGGCTGAGTCCCTTTGTGGAAGAACTATGTAGAATTGCCACAAATATATGATGTAAATCTTCCTCCTGAGCCTTTTCTAAAGATACCAGATGTCATTTGCTAGAGTGACAGAATAGGAAAAAAGGAAATACGCAGACCTTTGGTTGATGTCTTCACACTACCTTTGAATTGATATTAATTATTGGAAGCCCAAAATGCCACTGTGACCCACTTATGTATGGGACTAATCAGTCCATGGGTCCACCCTATAGTAGTTCCCCCAATTCCTGAAGTAATAATTGGAATAGGCATACTTGACCAGAGGCAGAATTCCTGCATTGGCTCTAATATCCATGGGATAAGGTCATTTTGGTAGAAACAGCTAAATCGAAGGCCTTTTTATTTCCTCTTCCTATGTACATAGTAAACCCAGAAACAATGCTGCATTTCTGGGGGAACTGCAGAGGTTAGTGCAACACCAAAGATTTGAAGCATGCAAGATTGGTGATGTCTAGAATATCCCCATTTATTTTATTGTATTTTTTAAAGGAAAAACTGCAAATTTTTTATTTCAAAATCTTTAGAATTGTGAGCATTCTTAACAGGTCATCTGTATAGCTAAAGACAGTAATCCTAATAGTCATCATTTTTAAAAAAAAATTGAGATACCGTTGATGTTAGAATAGCCCCATTTAATTCACCTGGGCAAAAGTGGAACGGATATTGGAGAATGACTGTAGATTTCAATAAACTTAATTAGGGTGTGACTTCAATTGCAACTTCCATTATAAAGGGTATCTTTACCAGAACAAATCAACAGAGAACTAACGCTTTTTCCCCCTTATCAAGTTGCAAAGACAACCATCAACAGTTTACTTTTACCTGGTAATGTCAGCATTACACCTTCATGGTCTTGCCTCAGTCCTACGTCAGCTCTCAATCTCTCTGCCATAGTATAGTCAGCCAGGATCGCCATTGTCTTGATGTTCCACAAAACATCACTCTTGCCCATTACATTGATGACATTATGCTGATTGGATCTGATGAGCAGAAAGTAGCAGTTAATTTGGAAGCCTTAATAAGATAGATGCAAACCAGAAAATGTGAGATGAACCTGAGGGACCTGCCACTTCCATGAAGTTTCTGGAAATCCAATGGAATGGAGCATGTTGAGATGTCTTTTCCAAGGTGACAGACAAAATGATGCCCAACCTACCATGACAAAAGAGTCACAATAATTGGTAGACCTTTTTGGATTTTGGAGGCAATATATATACCATGTTTTGCATTGGAACCATAAGGCTGCCAGTTTCAAATGGGGAACACAGCAAGTAGGAAAAGGCTTTGCAACATGTCTAGTCTGTAGCATAAGATGTTCTTCTACTTGGTCCTTATGATCCAGCAGGTCCAATGACACTCAAGGGTCTCTAGCAAATGAGGATGTGAATAAAATCTCAGGGAAGGACCAATAGGAGAATCACAGTATAGACCTCTAAGATTCTGGAGCAGATTTATGCCCTTTCATCAGCCACTTCAGGGCTTGTTTAATGGGCTCATGAACAATGTGGCCATAGGAATGAAAACTACATGGGCTCAACAACATGGACTTTCCCTTAAGGAAGCTGTCTTGACTACTGCTATTTTGAATGCCTAAACTGCTAATAGATGATGTCAACACTGAGTCCCCAGTATGGCAGCATTCCTTGGAGGGACAAGCCAGCCACCTTGTGGCAGGCTGAATATATTGTATCTCTTCCATCATGGAGGGGTCATAAATTCATTTTAGGGGAATAGAATATTATGCATATGGGTTTTCCAACCCTTCCCCTAATGCTACTGCCAGCTCCACCATTTGTAGCCTCTCAGAATGCTTTATCCACTGTCATGAATTTTGTCCATAGTCACTGGGCTCAAGCCTAGGGGATTAATTGGTTTCACTACATATACCATTACCTAGAAGTAGCTAGCCTGATAAAAAGATGGTATGTCTTACTGAAGACTCAGTTTTGGTGTCAGTTGGGAGACAACACTCTAAAGTGACGACGTTCTGTCTTACAGGCTGAAGTATATACTCTGATTCAGAGATGGTTATATGATACTTTCTCCCCCACAGCCAGAATATATGGGTCTGGGAATCAATGTATGCAAGGATGATGTAACAATGCAATGCATACAATGGATGCAAATGGTGCATTTCACTCTTATTTCCAATAACCCACTGAAAGGATTTTTGCCTCCTATCTTGTCAGCTTTTAGTTTTGATAGTTTGCAGGTATTATTCTCAAGTGGGAAAGGCTTCTGCCCAGGAGGGCTCTGGTTCCTTTCTATGCTAGCAGGAGTCATGATGCCTCTTGGACCAGTGGTGATGACTTAGCATATTTGAGACTCTTTCAGGCCAGAAATGTTTGTTACTGGGACATCATCCTCTGTGCCAGAAACTGGTGTTAGGGAAACCTCCCAGACAGAGATGGACACCAACCTCTTGCAAACTGTTTCTTGATTGAGTTTAAAAGTTAGTGCTACTTATGGTTTGAGTTTATGACTTGCTGTGTTTTTTTCTTTATTATGTTTCTAATATGTAACTTGGTATTGTTGGGGAGAATTGGGTGAGTGAAGAGGAGAGGACGTGGCATATATTGGGGGAGTTTGTAGTGCCTTATTTCAATTGGTTAGACTGAAACTTTGTTAAAGTTTGGGTTGTCCGAACCATGAGAATCTGGGGGTCACAAAAGACTAGCCAAAGGAAATTTCCTTTCTGCATTGTTACAACATACCCTTAAGCTGGAACTTCCTCCACCCTCTCATGTAGCAGTACACATGCTTTTGCCATCACACTCAGATTTTCCACTGCCCGTTTTGTTCCCATTGTAACCTTTTAATAAACCAGGACTTTCACAGGTAACCCAGTCTTCTAGGTAATCTGTCAGTCTGGCTGCCTCCAGACTTACATGTGGGCCTGAGCCAGTGCAATTGGGGTTATATCTGTTGTTGTGACCTCATTGTATATACAGTCAGGTGAGGACTGGGGAGATTCTGGTATAAAAACATTTCCAGGGGAGGCTATAGCACAAGTGGTAGAGCGCGTGCTTAGCATGCATGATGTCCTGGGTTTAACCCCCAGTACCTCCTCTAAGAATAAATAAATAAATAAACCTAATTGTCTACCCCCACCAAAAAAAAATTCCAAACTGAAAATTTTCTAAGAAAGAGACAAAAAACCTTAATCCAGACAAGGCATTTGCAAATACTGGCACATGAAATATGTAGTTCCAGTTTACATTTGAGTGGCCACCACCTCAGGTGCTCATGCTGGCTGCACACATTAAAAATCTTTCGTAGCTATGGACGTGATGTTCTTGCTCTTGCTCTTCCTAGTATTCTTTGCCTAGGAGTCTCCTCTGCTTCCTTACATCAGCATCAGGAAAAAGAATTGCCCATTAACAAAATAATTAGTGGCATTAACTTTAGAAAAGATTGTCAAAAGAGCAGTAGGAGTAGTTCTTGACTTAGCTACAACCTGTACTTCTGTACATTACACTTAGATATCTCTAAATATAAACATTTTGAATGTATCACATGTGCTGAGAAGTGAACATTTGATACATCACACAACACCAAGCAAACAGATAAATGGAAAATGGAAAAGTGAAATTACTGATAGTGGTGATAAAATGTGTATGTCTTATAAACATATTGCAGTGAGATAAAATGGTTACCATTTGGTTAAGCCAAAAGTGCTGACTTTATTCTCATTTGGATGCCCTTTGGTGTTAACTCAGTTCACTTTGTGTTGATTTGAAAGGGAAAAATTTAAAGAATAGGTTAAAAATGCTGGAGATATATGTCAACAGAGATATAATTTGAGATTTTATATATGTATTTATTTATATATATATATATATACACACAAACACATATGTATTTGCTTATTGAGAATAGATATCTTTCCCTGCCTTGATAAATAGAAAATTACATTTTCACACATTTGGCCTCTTTTGTTTCTTTGTTTCTTTGGGGGTAATTAAGTTTGTTTATTTATTTGTTTGTTTATTTTTTAATGGAGATACTGGGGATTGAACCCAGGACCTCATTTATGCTAAGCATGCACTCTACCACTGAGCTATATCCTCCCCCTGACATTTGACTTTTTATAAGATTTTATGAACAAATCATATATGAAAATAGAATATTTACCAACTCATACGTTTTCCTCAGACACCACTGATCAAAACTGACAAGGAACCTTGAGGGGGCTGTGGGAATTCTTCAGATCCTAAAAGCACAATTGTAATATGATAGTAATAATAAGGGTAGTAGTAGTGCTGATAATAGAATAGTAACTCCTGCTTGAGCTCTTGCTGTGTTTCAGGCTCTATGCTAGCTTTGCCACAAGTCTAAAATCATTTAATTCTTACAGTCCTTAGTTGAAATTGTTATTATACGGCCCTCCCACTTTATAAAATAGTATCCTAGAGTTCATAGAATTGAAATGACTTGTCCAAAGTCACAGCCAATATGCAGAGGCATTTATTGATTCCAAAGCCTGTG